AAAATAGAGTCCGGTGCACAGTGGAGGATTTTCTTTGATGTTATTGTGTGGGCCTGTTTGCTTTATTCGACAGGACAGCTGAAGAGAGACAGGAAATGTCCAGAGGAGAGAGTAGGGGACAGCATGCAGCAAAGGGTCGAGGCCGGGCCCGGACCCTCGGACGCTGCAACAAGGACTATAGCTTCCGTACATGGGGCACGCAGCATAACCACTAAGCCACCAGGTGCCCCACAGTTGAAGATTTTCATATCATCCCTTATTATAATGTTTTATTTCACTTTATTTATATTCAACATTTGACCTTTTAAACTGAGCCTCCAAGCAAAAGATTTTTCATGTGTGTACTTGTCTCATTGGAATGATAATAAACATCTTGACATAAACCTTCAAGTTAACTAAATTCTCTCCAGATATTTCAAGAATTTGACAAGAATGGTCCAGAATTCAGAAGAAAGGTTTTCATTCAGAACTTTATGAAGTGTCTTGATCAGAGTGTAAACACGACATTATTATAACTTCAAAACAAAACAGCGCCCTCTACCTGTCCTGTGTGGAAAAGTAAACCTGAAGATAATTGACTGAAAAATTGAAAACCACTGACAGCTCTGGAGACTATTCTGAATAAACCTCCTGTTTTTATCTTTCCAGCCTACTTCTGACTTTCTCCTCTCTCTCGCTCTCGCTCTCTTTTTAAAGATCTCACTCCTACTCTCCTTCTCTGACGCACAACAAAAAACACACAAAGACTTCCTGTAGCGGCTTTTTGCTTTATGGCGACCACCACAGAAAAACAGCCAGAGGCGACTTGAAGTGTGTGTGTGAAAACTCTGGCACTTCTTTCAACCAACAGTCCCTTTGTTTCACTTCTATTCCTCATAGTTAAAGATAAACACACACACACACACACACACACACAAACACACACATGTGCACATGCACACACACACACGTGCACACACACACACGTTCACATGCACAAGTTTTGTCCTGAAGTTTCATTTCACCTGTTAGCGTTGCTATGAGCAACCATAGATGCTTTGTTCGTTTGGTGCAACCCAATCCTCTGAGACAAAGAGCTACTCTGTGGGATATTACACACACACACACACACACACACACACACACACACACACACACACACACACACACACACACACACACACACACACACACACACACACACACACACACACACACACACACACACACACACACACACACACACACACACACACACACACACACACACACACACACACACAGCTAGCCAAGGTAACTGTGTGCTGGCTGGACAAGCAGCTGGGGCCAAAAACAGACGACTGCAACAGACAAACAGGACGGTCTGCTCACTTCTCTACACAATTTGGGTTCTATCCTGAATTGACAAAGTTACGGACTCTCGGGCCGTTCCATGCTCAAAGCATCAACACTGGAGCCTTTCCTGATGCAAAGCCAAAGAGTTTGAGTTGCTGAAAAAGTAGATGTGCGTAATAGGCTGACAAAACAGATAAACATCATCACCCTCAATAGTCAGCAGCAGAAATACTAGTCAGTTAGACATATTCATATTTTATGGATGTATGCCCACAATGCCCGTTAAATATTGTATCTGGGATGTAACGAAGTCACCCACCACTAGATGGTGCTGTACCTCGGGTTAATGGGCCTACGCTCCCTGCTCAACTGCTCGGATGTTAACTAGCACACAGTGGGTGGATGGTATCTCGTAGCGCGGCGCAGTATTTCGATCGATATTATGGAGATACATTTTTTTGTCGGCTGTGTAAGGTTAAATTATCATATCGACCAAACATTAGCCACGCTCCACAAACTCACTGTGATCCCTCTTGGTTTGAAAAGATTACACAGCTCATTGTGACAACAACTGCTCAAGATGCACTTCCCCTCAACTTGATCAAATTGTGCTACATGTTGAACATTATCTGTGTTTTTTTTAGGTTTAGACAAATCAACTAGTTGGGAAATAAGTGCCTAGCAATATTTGTAATCAGGATATATAGATGTATTTCTTAACACAGCTTCTTTGACCCAACAACTTCCTAATCCTGATTTTTGGTAGCAGAGTAATCAGGGCCCTTTTACAGGATCGTTAACACCCACAGAAACACACACACACACACACACACACACACACACACACACACACCACACACACACACACACACACACACACACACACACACACACACACACACACACACACACACACACACACACACACACACACACACACACACACACACACTCTCTCTCTCTCTCTCTCTCTCTCTCTCTCTCTCAATAAATCACACATTAAGGAGAAAAACTATGACACTCTGAAAAACTCTGAGGTGTTTCGTACCTTCGTCATCCATGCCACGGGCTAAATATAACCTCTTTCAAAAAACAAGAACAAACACACACACAAACACACGCACACACACACACAGTCTTTTTAACTGTTTCCAATAATACCCTCGGACACATCCTGCTTTTCTCTCACTGCCTGGTTAAGACACCAGGTTTTACAATACACCAGTGTGTGTGTGTGTGTGTGTGTGTATGTGTGTGTGTGTGTGTGTGTGTGTGCGCGCACGTCTTTGTGGGCTCCCTGGTCTGTGTGTGTGTGTGTGT